CTTTTCAAAAAAAAGTAAATTTTTTATGGGGGGGGCAGGGCAGTCTGAAGCTGTCACTCTGGCTTGAATGTGTGGCATCATAGCTCACAGCAACCTCCAACTCTTAGGCTAAAGTGATCCTCTTGCCTCAGTTTTTCTATTTTTAGTAGAGATGGGTATCACTTTTTTGCTCAGGCTGGTCTTGAACTCGTTAGCTCAAGCAATCCACCCGCCTCAGCCTCTTGAGTGCTAGGATTACAGGAATGCACACCACCCAGCCGGCCTAGAAGAACAAAGTAATTTCAAACAGTATTTAACTCTATATATCCCAAGTAGGACAAGTGTGTTATGGACCTGCATAAATTGGGGTTAAAGGTCATTAAAACTAGGGCTAAGGCAGGGGTCCTCAAACTTTTTAAGCAGGAGGCCAGTTCACTGTCCCTTAGACCGTTGGAGGGCCGGACTATGGGCCGTGGGACAAGTCGGGCTGCTAAGCAGGACAGGCAGCAGTGGCAAAAACACTCGGCGGGCTGGATTTAATGTCCTAGGCGGACCACAGTTTGAGGAAGCCTGGGCTGAAGTCTCTCAGGAGCCAGGGTCACTTTCAGTGCAGTATAACTTGTGACAAATGGCTACCAGTTTGCACACTGTAGGTTCAGGCTTTAGAAGAGGATTGGTCTTTGCTGTGGGTTGGCCAATCTAGTAATGTGGTTGCATTTGTGTAAATTTCGGAAAATATTCCACCCTTTTCTTTAACATGATTTGAGATGAAGTATATATAATGGGTACCTACAGGGAACTGAACCCCCTCTAGCAAGTCACATTGCTAATCCCTAAAAAGGATGAGATGAGTTATTGAGTTAGCTTCCTGAGTTGTCCTGTAACAATCACCAATGAAATTTAATGTTAAGGCTCGGCGCCTGTGGCTCAAGCGGCTAAGGGGCCAGCCACATACACCAAAGGTGGCGGGTTCGAATCCCCAGCCCGGGCCCGCCAAACAACAATGATGGCTGCAACCAAAAAATGGCCAGGCGTTGTGGCGGGTGCCTG